CTTTCTCCCCCTTAGATGGATCCTAATAGGATATCAGAAGATGGTACTCACTGCATTTACAGAATTTTGAGACTCCATGAAAATGCAGATTTGCAAGATACAACTCTGGAGAGTCAAGACACAAAATTAATACCTGACTCGTGTAGGAGAATTAAACAGGCCTTTCAAGGAGCTGTGCAAAAGGTAAGCTCACTCTGAGGTTGATAAGTCAAGGGCCCTACTGACTCTACCAATACCGAAAATTAAAACTGGCTAAGTACTGTTGACTTCTGTCTTTTTTATTTTAATAACTTGTAAAAAATGCTAAAGTGACTGTTTTAAAAAGATTAGCAGAATGCTCTTGAAATTGGTAGTGGTTGATTAGGTGATCAGAAGAGGACAAAGGTGGCTTGTGGTTAGTCGATGGGTCAGTTTGCTAGCTTGAATTCTCTGACCTAGAAACCATTCCCTCAGTTCACAGCACTTTCCGGTGGCTCTTTCCTTTCCGTCTAGTTTTGTAAAGGTAAGAACCCAAGTCCTCATCTGTTGATCAAGGGCTCTGATGAGGAGCAATTGTAACCAGCTGGTCCTTTGTTGCCATCTGTGGTGAGGAGGTGAGCAAGCAGAACAGGAAATGGTATGGTGGGCAAGGTGGAAATTTTGTGTCCATTTTCTCATTTTCTGGGACAGCTGAGTGCCAAGAGAGGAAATGGAGACAGAGAAGACCAGTGACTTCTCTTACACTGACAGCTCCGATTGAGAAACACTGTAATAACCTGTTTTATTTTCCTGGACAAAGGCACTTGAGAATTCTGCAGGCTCAGAATTATTTTACTTACTGACTCTACCAAAAACTAAGTAGAACCTGAATAGTGACTTGGTGCACAACACCTGTGTGCAGTCATGCTGCTCCTGCATATCCCAGCCCCTGGGGGGTCTCTGGTCATCCCAGATGAAACCCTGAAGTTCTCGAAGCCCTTAAATGCAAATTTAATTGTAATTTAGGTTACTTTAAAAAAATCCACCTGTAATAATAGCATATTTTTTATGAAAGAGGATGTGTCAGAGGTAGAGGTAGGGCAATGAAGCTGTTTTGTAAAACCAACTGGTAAATGTAAATATCTATAATACCTTTAAGGCTGAGATGTGCTGTATTTTATCAATTCTAAGACACCACCAATTTTCAGCTTACTTTATTATTTCATTCATCACTAAAAAAAAGTTTGCTAAACAATTAAACATGATTATCATAGATTCTAGTTGCATCTTAATTTCAGAGATACTAAAATATAAAAAAAAATGGACAACAAAATCAATGAAATACATATTACTGTAATATCTATAAGAAAGCCCATTGCTTGTGAAAATTACCTTTTCATTATAATCAATGTGTAGGGGCTTAGCTTTATGTAGTAGATGCATATTTCAAAATGTGGGTTTAAATTCATCTTTTTATCTTATAATTTTTCAACTATAGCAACAGCAATTCTACTAATCTATTCATTTTTATTGATCTATTTTATATTTTATTTTCATTAGTCTGCTTTTTGTCCCATTTATGAAGCTTTTTTCTCAAATACTGAGTACTTTATCTGTAAGCAACTATCTACATGTGCTAGGGGTGGGTGATCTGTTAGTTCGAAACTGAATCCCTTATTAAGGTAATTCTGGTTAGGTAAATGATTGTGTTCTAATTTTCTGTCTAGATAGGCTCAAAATGAATAGCTAGACTTTGAATTTCATGGTGTCCTGGTTCTTAAAAATTATCCTTTGAGTTTGTTACGAAAGAATAAGTATGGAAGATCAGCCAAGATAATTTTTAAAATAAATAATATTAAAAACTCATGCTGTTAATGTTTATTTATGGAAATGCAAGAATGGTTCAATCCTAACAATTGAAAGGACAAAAATATATTATCACCTCATAGATCCTGAGAGGTGATTGACAAAATTTTGCATCTACTTCTGATGTTTAATATCCACTAGAAAATAGAACTGGATGGATTCTTTATATTATTACAAATATCTCAAACTAAAAGTTAGGTGATGATGAAAAATAGGAGCATTTCTCTTAAAGTTAGGAGCAAAACAAAGATGTCTTCTGTCCCCACATTATTTAACATTGTTCTAAAGGTGCTAGGTAATGTAATTACACAAGAGAATGAAATAAGAAAAATACACAGAGAAACGGAGAAGGCAGAATTTGCATATGATATGATCATATCCTTAGGAAAATTCAACACAAACTGAAAGGCTACAAGCAAAATAAAATAAATCAGTTTGTAAAAATTAATAAGTAATAATCACCAGCTGCCCCCATCTCCAACAATAGTTAGAAAACATGAATGAAATATTTCATTAAGAATTTTTTTAAATGCCCTAAAAGTAAACTCAACAAGAAATGTACAAGGCTTATAGGAATAAAACTAGAACACTCTACAGAGATATTTAAAATAGGTTTGGGTAATGTAAAGACATAACTATGTAAAGTCGTAATTATTGTAATATAGCTTGGGCAAAGGATAGCAGACAAATTCATGAAAGAGAACAAACAGCTTATGGTAGACATTATTGTGTGTGTCTGTGTTTGAATGTATGTGTGTATGTAATTTAATGTAACATAAAAGTATTTCAAATGTGAGTAAAGTTTGAATTATCAAAAAATGGTATTAAAACAATTTGTTTACTATTTTTAAAAAGTTATAGCTTTTCTTCATGTCCTAAGAGTAATAAATCCCAGAGGGAGAGAGTAGGGTACCTGGTGGCCGATGGCTGCTCACTGGTGGTCACGTCCTTCAGAACTCTCTGTTGCTTCAGTGAACTTTTCCGTCACCATCTGTCTCATCATGTTTAAGTCACTGCTTGGATAATATGAAAAATCAGTTTGTACTTAAAGGTACTGATGAGCAATAATGGCAGAATTTTCACTATTTTAAGAGTATTTTGGAGACATGGTGCCTCATTCCAAACCAGTAACACTAATTATGAGGGATTTTGTACCTGGCGATCCAGAAGGAGAAGGATTTGTGGGCAGGCAAGAATAATCAACTGCTCTTAGTAAAGGCACACAGTGTTAATTATACTAATAGATTATTATGACTCATGGGATGAGTAGAACTTTATTTCATTATCTTCATATTTTTTTTGTGTGCTATAGGATCGCACAGGTAATAATATCATATGCGGTAATCCTTTGTAAAGAAGAAAGAACTGTCAAAATATACCAATGTGCATTTGGAAGTAGAAGATGCCATTTCTTCCCCCTAGACGAGCTCTTTAGGAAGGAGACGAGCATTATCCGTACCTTATCATTAGAATCAACCAGCATCCTTGAAGTGCAGATACTGTGCTAGGCACTTTGCCATACCTTTTCCTGTCCCCAAGGATTTAGTCTTCTCTTACCCTAGCCAAATAATGATTTGCCAAATGTGTTATCCTTTGATGAGGATTATTGGTTAATGTGACATTCAATACATCTTGCCAAGATAATCAGATTTCTCACTTCTCTTGCCAATGCTGAAAATAGGATGGATGCATTCGGCATTCATCAGTAGCCTTGTATCTTAGCTTTAGTTCTAATATAGATATTGAGTGAACCCATAGAACAAAATTACATGTGTGGCTGCAGTCATTATTGAGAGATAAACCAGTGGTAACGAATACCAGACATAAGCACAATATCACATTATATGTGTGCAAAAACTGGTGTTTACCCAGCCCATCTTTGGTCAGACATGTAATGCTGTTTTTTTCCCATTTTTTGTTTGTGGCTAGGTTTTCTTGGCTTTTTCCCCCGCTTTAGCACAGAACTCTGAAGGGCTCTTGGTGATCCAACCCTACCAACCACAATTTATAAAGTCTGTCATAACAGTCTATGACAATAAAGAAAACACTAGTACAAGTATGGTGTCTAATTTATAAAGCGATTCTTGTTTCCAGCTTTGGCAGCCTCCCTGGCCTTTGCAACCAGGGTGGGGGGTGGGGGATATGGGGGGACTAGGAGGGAGGGAGTAGTGAGATCAGGCCCCAGTGAGGACTACCTGGCACAACCCACAGACTTCCTGGCCAGTCTCAGTGGAAGCCGTCTGTTTATGCACTAACTATACAATCTGAGTGCTCAGGGCTGTGACTCTACTTGACTTTAGTATGCCAGATTGTTGATTTCAAGCTGGGTACCTTTTGGCAAAAAAACTTGCTGAAAGTTACTTGCAAAGGTATTTGAGGGCCGGCCCGTGCCTCACTCGGGACAGTGCGGCGCTGGTAGCACCGAGGCCATGGGTTCAGATCCTGTATAGGGATGGCCGGTATGCTCGCTGGCTGAGCGTGGTGCAGACAACACTGTGCCGAGGGTTACGATCCCCTTACCGGTCAGAAAAAAAAAAAAAAAAAGGGTATTTGAAAGAATGATATGCAAGAGAGAGTTCAGTATACAAATTATACAATCACCTTGTTCTGCAAAATGGGACGTGTAATACATTCAAGATGATCTCATAAGATATGGGAAGTGAGCATGGGGACTTTCCTGTATATTTCTTTTTAATATTAGCTTTTAAAAGCTGTGTTTTTGTGAATATTTTGTAATATGCATAACATACAGTAGAGGTTTTCTTTAATATTTAAATAAATAAGTACATTTGAGAGCATTAAAATTTTTCTCTGATAGGGCTGCACGATCAGAAATGTTTAGAGATCACAGAAGGAAGCTGTGAGCCCCAGAGGACAAGGACCATAACCACTCCATACTCGTCTGAGTATTTCACACCTGATTCATTCTCAGGAATGAAAGACTAAAAGAACAAATAAATGATTGATGACTAATTGAACTCTCTAATATTTTCGAATAAAAATGGAACATCGACCAACTCACAAAGCTATTTAGAATGTTATAAATCTGGTTCTCCTTTCTCTGATGCCTTACTTGTGCTCTGATGCGTAGTTATAAGTATTACAGCCTGAGCCCCTCCTTATATAGCCTCGGCGCAATAATAAAACAGGTTCATTTTTGTTAGCAGGATCTCCAGCTGGACTTCTCACTTTCGTCACATTTTCCTCAGGTCTCTTTGCTGCTCTGTATCCTGTTCACCTTGTAGAGGCAGGCTTATAATGTAAACAGAAAACACCACTCTGCTCCTTATATGAGTGCAGTTTTAGAAAACTCCAATTTCACTCCAGACTATGAAAAGCCAATGATGAAATGGCTAGCA